CCCCAAAACCCCAAAACCCCAAAACCCCATGAAGACATAATTCTGATGTAATTGATGATAAAAATAATAAAATACGGAAGATTTAATTCTACAAAAAAACAAAATGAATTATCTTAAAATTATATTTTTAATGGTAGCAGATATATTACTTACTATCATCTTAAAGTTTCTTGATAATGGTTTTCGTAAAAATTTCGACATTCCACTGGATAGTGATACATATCTTGCATTACATTTCAATACCATTAGAATTACTTTCAGTTTGCTTATTCTTAGTTAAGATAAGCAATACCATAGATATTGAAGTTATACCTTAAATTGATAAAGATGGATTCCTTAAGCTATCAGACTATGTTAATCTAATTAATCCTTAAGTTGATGCATTTTTGTTTAACACTTTGATGATTACACTCTTTTGGATAGCTCACATCAAAATGTCTAGCACTGCTTTCAAATAGAATATGAATAACTTGACTAATAATCTCTACTACTACTATGATAGATCAGTTTTTAATATGACTGCTGGAAAAATAATGACTTTAATCATCTTTTTATATCAGCCCATCGATATTGTGCTATTTGAAGGATTCAATAATAATTATGCTAAATATCTCGCATTAGTCATGCAGGTATTTAGTATTTATTATTTCCTTTAAACATTTTGGGACTTGAGAGAGTCAGATACTCTTGGCTTTGATCACTTCAGACATTTTAAAAGAGAAGGGACAGAGTTTCCAATGCCATTTAAGATGAAATATATGTCAAGAGCAGGCTTTAGTTCCAGACATCCACTCATGACATTTTTCCTTACATACCTTCTTTCTACTGTGTTATATGGTCCAATCACTTTCGGAAGACTTTTGTTAGTTGGCTCATTCTTTGTATCAATTTTGATTGGTGTACATCATGAGGAATAAGAATTGATTAAAATGGGTGGTAAAGGATTCCAAATTTTTATGAATTTCATACCCAACTTATTCATACCAGATCTCAAAATGTTCTTCATGAGTGTCACTGATTATAAGAAATTTGAAAACTCTTTTTGGGAGCAATTGGCTAAGGTAGAATGAATGCCACCTTACTCTATGAAAATTAAGCCAGTTGATAGAAATTTGGAAATTATTTTTAGGTTTGATTTTGATGATTATCACATTCATTATATTACTCCTTTATTTATTCACTTCTTTCTTCATAATCGCTAAAAGGGGTTTTGGGGTTTTGGGGTTTTGGGG